CATTATGCGGAGTTTAGGACATGCAAAACCAAAATTATGTCATCATGGCATGGCCACAATATTTGAGAGAGAAGTTTCAATTTTGAGACAATTATCAAATGCAAGCACCATCAAATCGAACATTTTAATGATTAAGAGGCATGAGATGAAAAGGACACAAAACTTACAATCATGGTAAATTATCAACTATCCGACGATAATTCTTTAACACACCTTGGGAATCTATATGTAGTTGCCTTGAGGGATTCTGGTCAATCAAATTGCAGACACCATCACCCTGAAACATAAAACAAAAAAAAAGAAAAAGAAAAAAAGATCATGGGTACTGTCCACGCAATTAAAAATTATGTCTCGAGACCAAATACCCTTGAAGGAATCAAATTTGACATGGGTTTGTACTAAAATTGGATAAAGGAATTGCAAACATTTTTTTTTCTTCTTTTTTGAGAATCAAAAAAATTCCTGAGCATACCTTGTCATCAATTTCAAAGGGAAAGGAACAAAACTTTATGATCCTTCAATGCAGAAGCCTTAAAATAAAAGCTAAAAGGCCAAAACTTTGAAGGATTTACTAGATGAGAGAATCCAAGGGAAGGGATTTTATATGTTCTAACAAAAAATAAGGTTGTATTAAAAGTAGATCTAGAGAGAGAAAGACAGGGACAGAGAGATTGAGGAGTTGTGATTGGTTAAGGAAAGAGAGGACTGTAATTATCTATACAGCAAATCTTGGGTTTTAATGGAAATCCATGATAAGAACGTCTTCTTCTCTGATTTCTTATGGGCTTATTAGGCGGTGATTTTCAGTTTTTTTTTTTTTTTTTTCAGTTTTTGTTTTTCTAATTTACTTGCCTCGTGGGAGGGTTTTGACTTTGACCTTGCAACCAACCATCATTTCAGGCAACTTTTACTCATCTTCTTTTCTCCTTTTATAGTAAAATTAAAAAAGAAAATGATTAAGTTTGGTTTTCTTTTGTATTTATTTTTATTTAAAAAAATATATTTGAAAGTTGAATCGATGATAATGATTATTATTGGTTTTAAAACATGCTGAAATGATTGATAAGATGGTCCTTGTATATACTTGATTTAAAAAAAAAGCTGAAAGTCACGAGCACTTATAATAAGCCAAAAAATAACATTTCATACATTTGTAAAACAATGAAAATTATTTATATTTAAAAGTTGAAAGCTACTTAAACGATTTCGCTTGTGTGTGGCTGTTTTTTAAAATAAAAAATATCAAATAAATATATTTTTATTATATTTTAATAATTTTAAAGTGCTAATATTATAACTTAAAAACTATTTCAATATATTTTTAAATAAAAAATATTTTTTTATCATGATATAAACACACACCAAGTCTAATTAATTTTTAAAAAGAAAATATTTAAACATATGATTTAATTTTTTTGATAAAGAATTTTATTATAAATTTAATGAAATTGAGATTTTAAATATTTCAATGTTTTAAAACTTGATTCAATTTGGAGTTGAAGTTGGATTATATTAAAAAAAAAAAACTTGAATTGATCTAGTTAATTCGATAAGAACGAATTAAAAATTTAATTATAATTTTTTATTTTTTATTTTTTTAATTAAAATAATATTATTTTAATTATTTTAAAAAAATTGATGTAATAAACTGATTAAAACTTGAAATCCCGATGTTATACTGAATCAGCTACCGATCACATCTAAAAACTACGACTTCTGTAAATAAAAACAGAAAATAAATCTCATATTCATTGAAAACATATAAAAGCTTCTTACCGAAGTCCTAATTAACAACTAGAAAGAAATATTTTTGTGAAATTCAAGTTTTTGGGACGGTTCAAGCACGCTGTTGATCTCCTATGGTCTTGGAAGTCGATCCATCTAAGAACTTACTTAACGAAATCAAAATTGGAGAGACTAAAAATATAATATTTAGAGGAGAATTGCTCATTTACAATTTAATCAAATCTTGATATTTAGTTTAGTTAGTAAGATAAACGTTCAGTTCTAAGAAGTTTTTACGTATTTTCTCATAAATATTGTAGTCTCGGCCACGGGTGATATGTTTTTTATTTCTTTTTTTTAATGATATTTTTTCTAATCAAATCAAAAGGCGTGAAATAAAAAGGAAATTACAGCACGGCCCAAATAAATATAGCAAAATGCAAAGACTCCGCTACTCGGGGGCCAAGATCAGTAAATAGAACCATTATGAAAACAAACCAAAACAACAAGGACAAAAATGTAAAAGGAAACAAATTCTGTTTTCTCAGCTAACATCACCGAAAGATCTTTTTCTCTCTAACCAAACGATGCCATTTTGTCTTCACAACTACCGCTTTTTCGTCAGGCTGAACAGCAACAGAACTCTTCCCTGTCCGATACGCCACGCGCGCTTCACCTCACTGACCGTTCAATCACGGGCCACCATTTCCAGCGAGCCAGCCATGGCATCCAACTCAGTCCGAGTGGCTGCAGCTCAGATGACGTCAATCAACGACCTGGCTGCCAATTTCGCAACCTGCTCTCGCCTCGTCAAAGTAAACTCGCTTTTGATTTCTCATTAGCACACAGTTTTGTTGTTATTATACTAATTTTTGTTCCGACTGTGCCTAGCATTCGTCTGCTAATTGTTTTTTTTTTGGTGGTGGGGTTGTCATGTGAAGGAAGCAGTGGCTGAAGGGGCAAAATTGGTTTGTTTCCCGGAAAGTTTTTCTTTCATTGCGGACAAGGATGGGGAAAGCGTTAACATTGCGGAGCCTTTGGATGGACCGATTATGCAACAGTATTGTTCATTGGCCAGGTAATATATGATTTTGCTTTATTTTACCTGCTTTATGATTTTATTTGTAGCCTTGTAGGTGATAGACATTGACCATCATATTCTTTTTTGGCAAAATATTAGAATTTTCTTATTGCTTTATGGTTATGGTTACTGAATTGTAAGTGGATTGGTCTTTTGGATTGCAGGGAGTCCGGCATTTGGTTGTCCCTTGGAGGATTCCAAGAGAGAGGATCTGACGATGCACACTTGCGCAACACGCATGTTGTCATTGATGACTGTGGGAGTATAAGAAGCAGTTATAGTAAAATACACTTGTAAGATGGTTAACTCTAGGTTTTGTTGTGATGCTTCTCCCCTTATCACTGTAGTTCTTTAGTGTATATGAGTGTATGAGTATTGCTTGCTCGAAGTTCATACGTCGATTCTTTCTTTTATATTAATTCGTGCATATCATGGTTTAATTTATCCATCTGGGAGCTAAATAAAAGTTTTCTTTCAAAATTAAGGTTTGATGTGGATGTTCCTGGTGGACGGGTATACAAGGAAAGCAGCTTTACAGAACCTGGTGAGTTCTTCATCCGTGTGTCTGAATTGCATGTTGAATAAACAAATATCTTATCACCTGCCAGCACCTGCATTTGGGTCACTCTTCAAATGTTTCTGACAGATATAAAATAGTATTTTATTGGTTCACTTTTGACGTTTGTGCTTCTGGAACCTCATTCTTGCCAATCTATGGCAAAACAAGTCACTGCCAGCCAATATGCCTGATGTGGCATGCTGTCTGGATGATCTTGATGAAGACCTTCTAATGCTTTATTTTTCTTTGATCCAAATATTTGGATTCATAGAGTTTTCTAATAAAATTAGCCATGGGTAATGCATTCGTAAAATTTTCCCATGCTTCTGGGAGCATTTTCATCTCTCCTGTTCCTAATTAGTGCATTTTCACACAAGTTTCTGGGAGTAACTGATCTATATTAATTATGTATCCAGGGAAGGATATAGTTTCAGTCGACAGTCCTGTTGGACGCCTGGGGTTCTCAGTTTGCTATGATCTGAGGTTCCCAGAGTTATACCAGCAGCTCAGGTTCCAGCACGAAGCCCAGGTATAATTCAATTTTTCTACTCTCTGGTATAGCTTGACTTTTATGATTTATCATGTAAAACTTGAAGCGTTTGTTATAATTTGCAGATTTTATTGGTACCTTCTGCTTTTACAAAAATAACTGGTCAGGCACACTGGGAGATTTTGCTTCGTGCTCGTGCAATTGAGACTCAATGCTATGTATGAATTCATTTTTATCTTAGCAGAATTATGATTTTGGGTCAACCATGCAAGCCTGGTAATAAATCTCTTTCCCCTTTATCAGGTAATAGCTGCTGCACAAGCTGGAAAGCATAATGATAAAAGAGAAAGCTATGGTGACACTTTAATAATTGATCCTTGGGGAACTGTTGTTGGTCGATTGCCTGGTGAGAATTAACGTCTCTCATTCTAGTGCTTCTTCTTATCCAGAGTGAAGAGTCTATTGTGAATGCATTTCTATTTGCATTACATGTTTTTTTTTCATCCAATGGACTCGTCGATAATTTCCCACTCTCTTTTCTTTTTCTCTAGCGGGTGGTGCTTTTATAGTATGTGCTGTGTACTTTGGTTTATATCCCATTAGCTTGTTTGATGAATTTACTGATTACTAATTTGATTCTCTTTTAATTTGCAGATCGCATTTCAACAGGGATTGCTGTGGCTGATATTGATTTCTCATTGATTGATTCAGTACGAGCAAAAATACCAATCGCTAAGGTAACTTTATCCTGTTCAATTCTAGGATATGAGACTGATTAAAAGTTAACAAGTACTTAAGGCAACTAAATTTGGAGGGGAAGAAATAGCAAACACGGGTGTGTTGAAATAGCAAGACAGCACTCTAGGTCTCAATAGTAGCACAAGACATGCATATTGCACAGTTGAGCCTGGATTTGATGGGCTATCTGCTTTGGCGGTTAGGGACAAGCACTTAAATCACGGACCAGGTCCACACCGCTGGTGCTTGTGCTTGATTTATTTGATTCGCCTGAAATTGTGGAATTCTAGATGTCAATTGTGGCATGCCGGTGCTCTATGTCTATCGGGCTGGGTTGGTTTGATGTTGAACTATATCCTACTTGGGGTCTAACCTAATGTGCCTGTACTACATAGTGCCAGGTATCGCCTGTTAATCTAGCAACTGGCCTCCCCCGTGTCCATCCTCCACTGCTAGAATTAGTGCTTGTGAGCTTCTGTATACCCTAACCCAGCTTGGTATGCATGCATGTGTCCTGTGCTTGCATAGATGCAGGTGTCAGTGTGTGTAGTCTCGTGAGGGTATCACCTGTTAATCTAGCAACTGGCCTCCCCCATGTCCATCCTCAACTGCTAGAATTAGAGCTTGTGAGCATCTGTATACTCTAACTCAGCTTGGTATGCATGCATGTGTCCTGTGCGTACATAGATGCAGGTGTCAGTGTGTGTAGTCTCGTGAGGGTCTTTTGTATTTTAATGCTTTAAAAGTTGTGCATGTGAATCCATGGTACAGTGATGTGTGGGTGTGTACATCATTCTATTTATGCGAGTTTTCCTGTTTGTAAAGAAATGCAATCTCTTATACTTCCAGCAAAGAAAGCCTATCGAGTTCTGGAAATCTACATCTTTGTGATTGTTGAAGATTGTGCCCGTCCATCTATGCTATTATCCAGACAACATGCCAACTCGCATCAAATTCATGCTGTACCATATGATTCAAGGAACAGTCATCTATATTCTTGCTTGCATATCAAGGATGATACAGTAATTAAGAATAAGTTGGAATTTGAAAAGAAGTTCAGATGCCATTTGTCAGTGAGCATGCCTGCTTAAATTATGCTCACCATTTTGCACATCTGAATACTGCCGGGGACTTCAAAATATTCATCGAATATTTCGATACTTCATGCAAGGATTTGAATGTAACATTTTCCTTCTGTTATTGTGGACATGTCAAGTAAATGTTGTGGATTATGGTTGCAACTTGCAAGTTTGCAACTCCTGATGTATAAAGGGGTTTGAGGGAAAAAGCATAAAAGGGCTTTCGTTTTGCAATGAAAGCCCATCGACTTCTGGAATCTGCATCTCTACGATTGTTGAAAAATATGCCCTTCCAAGTGCGTGCACTATTATCTAGATAATCTGACAAACTGCGTCAGATTGCTGCCGTTGTATGTTTCAAGGACCAGTCGGCTCATCTGTCAGCGGACATGTGTCTGTAATTTGTTGTCTATCATCCATAGTTTGAAGACGAATTAATCCGTATTCTGACAGCGTTGTGGTAGAAGAGACTACTGTAATAAAAGAGACTCCAGGATAAAGCGAGGGTGCTATAGTCACGTTATGCCAAATTGAGTGGTCATTCGTAACAATAAACAAGGCGTCATTGAAACAATAGGCTTGTCTTAAGAGATTGGTAGCGGGTAGGATTGGTTTTTTGCTTCCTCCTGTCGCTTTGGACCGGAACAAGTATAACCCGGCTCCAGTGTAGGTTTTCATCGGACTAGAGATGGGTTGATTTTTTCTAACACGTTAATACAAAGTTTTTGATCCTTCTAAACCCATTCTTTATTTTGAACAAAATATATTAAGATGATGATATATTTAATCAATTCAAGTTAATCATAATTAATTTATAAAATTCACAATTCAAAAAAAAAAGAATGCAATAATCTGATTAAAAAAAAAAAGAATGCAACAACCCATGCAATTTATATCAAAACAAATCACAAATTAGAAAAATCAATGGGATGAAAATAAGAAAAATCAATGTGATGAATCAAAGACTATGAAAAATATACTAAATCTAGAAAAAGGATCCAAAAAGAGTAACTTAATTAAAAATATATTGGTAGTTGACATTACACCATGTATCGATAAAATTTTAACCTAGCATAAAAAAATAGTTAAGGGATGTAAGTGTTTCCAAGGAATTAAAAAAATAATTCAAGACTTGAGTTATTGAGTTGCTTATGTTTGATAGGATTATTTAATTTAATAACATGTTAAAAGAATGCAACTTTAATTTAATAACATGAAAAATCAAATAATCTTGAGTGGATCTTTTAATCATATGTTAATCTTATAAATTCTAAGCTCATGAAATATTAGATTCGGGTTCAATACTTTCAACTAATTTAATATTAAAAGATAAAAAAAAATATTGGACTTTAGTCATTGATTCAACTAGTTTAAGAAACTCAATTATTTTAATAATATAAAAAATAAAATAAACTCGGTAAAATCTTCTATACCTAGATTAATCTTCTAAAATTACAACGTGTAAAATCATATACAAGGTTTAGTAAAGAATTTCAATTCATAATAATTTTAATATTAATGAATGAAATTAAAAAAAAATATTTAAAAAATTATTAAATAAAAAACAACAATAAAAAAAAGAAGATCAAACTTGATAGGAAAAAAAATAGAGGATGTAATTGCAAAGAAAAAATCAACTTGAAAAATCACCTAAAATTAAAAAAATTAAAATAACAAGGACTTGAAAGATAATGAAATTGAAAATAATTTTTAATATAAAGTAATTAACTAAAATAAATGAATTGCAATTAAATCAAGAGGGGATAGATCTCAGACAAAAAAAATAAACGGAAGGTTTGTTGTGATTTTTGTATGGATATCACGCTTATTGAGATGTAGAGAGGGGAAAGGGAAAGAAAAAAAATCCAATAGGTGTGGAATCAAATGGAGCTATAATGCACACGCCGCCCCAATAGATAGTCAATGCGAAGCTAGAAAACACTCTTGAAGGCTATTTCAAGAAGGGCAAACCCGTCGCCCCTCGTGATTTCTCTCCTGGGCTAAAATCATTGGATGTGCCTTTTACGACCCGTGCTGGAATAACTTATTCCTGGGTAATTTATATGATGGCTGGTGTCTTACATGATGAACTATAGTAAAGTGGGGAATTTGGAGCTATGAAGGTGTGCTTTTAGCATGAAACAAAATATAGTATATTGATTTAATATACATATAACAATGAAAAATAAAAACTGCTATTTAGTTGTTTGAAAAATAAGAAAATATTACTAAAATGTTTGAAAATAATAATAAAATAGATTAAATATTCAAATCTATCTCCAGGATTGCTACCTAAAAACGAAAGCTGGACCTATAAAATCCATCGAAAAACTATATATTTAGCTCGATAGGGAATACAACTGGTTGTCCAAGGCTCCATCGATATTTATTTTAATGATTTAGAAAACGACTATTCAACCGTTGAGATTAGGAAGCATAAAAATAAATAAATAAATACTCAAGTTAGTTTTATAAGGTGATTAGGAGTGTTATTATTTTTTCAAAGTGTTTTTTATTTCAAAACAGATTAAAATATTTTTTTAGTTTTTAAAAAATTATCTTTAATATTAGCTTATTAAAATAATTTTAAAATATTAAAAATATATTTAAAATAAAAATAAAATTTTTAATTTTTTTAAAATACTTTTAAAATATAATACCAAACAATAACAACTTATTCATGGATTACTATCAACCTCCGAAGCAAAAGCAAGACCTATAAAAATCACCCAAAAGCAATTTATTTTGTCGAATGGGGAGCAGAGGTGGTGGCCCGAGGCCCCATCAATGGCCCACTACTGATAAAACTAAGAAGATTTGTTTGGGCTGGGATGTGGCTCGTATGGGTCTGGGCACACGAACTTTTTTTCCGGACGGATCGGAGGGGTTACCGGATGGGCCGGGACAAAGTGGCATTCCTAAGGGCTAAGATTGTGATTCCCGATGACGTGTCATTCAAAAGCAATCTGTTTGGTAATTGGTAGTATATTTTATATTAACTATAATTTTAAAAATACTTATTTAATAAAAAAAATCTAAATCTTAATTAAAAAAGAATACAATTTATATTAAATCTACCTTTTCAAACCAGGTAGTATATTTTATATTAACTATAATTTAAAAAATACTTATTTAATAAAAAAAATCAAAATCTTAATTAAAAAAGAATTCAATTTATATTAAATCGACCTTTTCAAACTAAACTGTAAAAACTAGCGCAATGACGAACGACAAATGGCCTCCGGGTAGTGTAACTCACGAATGTATCAGCAGAGGGCTTTCGTTTTCGCAGAAACACTGAAACTGAGATTCATTAGATTGGACTCTCACTTTTGTTTTCAGATACTTTCGCTGTCTCTTCTTCACCGTGCGCCACCTTCTCCTCTAACACACCAGGTGCGTGCTTTCTTATATAGCAGACTGGCTGCTCAAATATCATTTAGGTTATTCTCGTGTCACGTTTCCTTTCTGGATACATGTTCAATCACTTTAATTTCGCTAAATAAACATGGGTTTTATAGTTAATTACGTTTTGATTTGCGGGTTTTTCTTTTGAGGGATATTTTGTTCATGCTTTAATGCAGAGTGTAATTCAAATTGTGGATTTCTTATTGTTTTTTGGATTGCATTAACGTCTCCTTCGGCTGTTTTTTGTCAGAAATAACTGAATTTATGAGAATAAATGCATGAAACTGGAATGAGATAAGCTTTTTATTTGAAAAATTGTTTTAACGGCGATGTTAATCATCACAGTGATGGATGGTGGTGAAGATTCCCAAGAAAGTCCAAGTGTTAATGCAGCGGCTGCATCAAGTTCCGATAACGCAGAGCCAAGGTTTGTTAAAATCTATTGAATAGTTGGTTGTTTCACTTAAAACCGGTGCTTTGAGGTGTTTTTAACAATGATTACTTGGCATATTTTTGTGTTTACTGTATCCCAGTGCCTCGCAGACTGGAGCACAATGCAATTCCCTTGAGAAACGCAAGCAGAAGGCAAATGAAATAGAGGTGGACGAATCCTGCACGTCAAAAAAGCGGCCTCACAACAGCTTCATTGAATACTAGTGAGTTTGGGAAGAATAAAAAGTTGATCCCTTTATTAGGCAACTTGTATTTTGTTTGTGTTAACTATGATGAGTGTTTGTGATTCTAGCTTGAGCAAAGGACTGGATGGAGAGAGGGAAAATGGGGGGAAGAAGAAATTGAAGGTACAAGAAGTTTGAAGTAAGCTTTTCTGCATGAAATTTAGATGTCACGACTGCTTCAACAGAATATTTCAATTGTGTTTATTGGTTTATCGGTTGGGGGTGGGGGATTTGGATTCAGGCTCCAAAGAATGTCGCAAAGCAATGGAAGTCACTCCCAGAGGAGGAGAAGAGACCATTCCAAGATGCAGTGAAAGATGCTTGGAAAAATCATGTAAAAGAGAGAGGTGAGCGCCCTGAAGCACCAAAGAAGGTAATTTGGGTTGGGGCTTGCCTGCTGAAAATTATGAAGATTTAACTAGTTGTCCAAATATGATTTTTAATTTTGATCTTGGGCAAAGCATAAGTGCCATAACTTTTTAACGGTACATTTGACCATCCAGGCATATCTTGATTCCCGGTGTTCGTTGAGAAAGTTTGCAGTGGTTGTCAAAATGTTTGATCAAGATCAGATTCAAGCAGTTAATGCTCTTGGACTTGCTGGGCTCTTGCATATTAAAAAGCAAAAAAGGAAGTTCCAAGTGATTGAAGATCTTGCTGCCAG